TCGAGATATCGCGAAATACGCAAAAAGTAAAAATAACATTAAGGGGCCCAAACTTTGTCGTCACTCTCCTGACCAAACTATTAGGACTATATTTTCCAAATTGGTTCAGGAAATAGAGCGTTCACCTTCCAATGATGCAAACCGGTTTCGCATCCCTGTCGATACGCATTCTGCACCCGGCTTGCACCGACCACAGTGCTGCCGTGAAATATCGTCAGTGGTAGACGGATCATGGGTTAGAGTTCCCTTGCCGCCAGGCTGACCGTGGGAGGTTCTCGTACTCTTCCTCTCCATGTAACGCAAATGCGGGTTAGCTCCATCAGAAAGTCCTCCACGAAGGCAAATTTCTCCCAATACTCGATCCAAGTTCCCTTGTCTTCTGGATTGAGTTCAAAATCACAAGGCTACGGAGATGAACAATAGTAATCGTAAAACCCATAAAATTGGGTCGGCTGTTCAAAGACGGTTATAAAATAAAATAAAATTGCGGCTACCGTATATTTTGGGAATCCGAGGAAAAATTTATGCTTATTCAGAGAAAGTAATTTGTATCTGATTTCATATATTAAAATATTGTCTGCACTAATTAATTAGCATAGTTGAATTCACCCCCTCGAACCATTGAGATTGAGTCCTAGAATGTGAAAATCCGATCATTAAAAAAACCATAACTTATTTAGGGTGGTCCGGTTTTTCTTTTTTTTCCTTCTCCTTGGCGCATTGCACGATCTGTGCGCAAGATTATACATACAGTCAAACCTCGATATCTCGAGGTTTGACTGTATGAGGAGCAAAAATTCGAGATATCGAAAATTCGAATTATTGAAAATCGCATGTTGTCGATTGAAGAATAAAGAAAAATGCTCTTTACATACCTTATTTTCTATTCCATATTTATTCCAAAAACACTTTTTACACTTTCATTTAAAAAAGATTCAATTGTTGTTTGCTTTAGAGATCTGTAAGAAAGTTTGTCTATAACACTTTCTAAGTGGACTAGCTTTAAATGTCTCCTCTGACATATTCGGCTGCCTCTCAATAAATCTCCTTACAGTGTCCACTGCAGAAAGTGCTTGTTTGTTACTAACATTGGGCTGTAAATCTTCGATTTCCTCATCCTCTTCTTCTGATAGTTCACAAGAAGCTTTCGTTTGAACGATGATATCATTGTCATCCCACTGATCACACACTGTTACTACATCATCTACGTTTACAAAGTCATGAAATTCCATGTGATCAAGCTTAAAGAGTCTGGTCAATCTGCTCCAATCATTTTCGGTGTAGTTTTCAGCAGAATTAACGATATTGATTGTTTGACTACTTTCGTGATCTTTAATGAATTCAGACTTCTACGATCATTCGACCAGAATGATCGTAGAGGAAGACACATCATTTCATGCCTTGACAGCCATTCTTAATTTTTTTTATTTTTCGGAAAAAAATCTACACTATTTATGGAAAAAAATTCAAGTTATTGAGGGATTAGAAAAAAAAAATTCGTGAAATCAAGTTTTTTTTAACATTGAGTGTGTAGAAAATTTGAATGGAATTTTTTCCTCTTCAAGATATCGAAAAATTCGTGAAATCGAGGTTCGACTGTATTTGATTGGAATTATCTTTGAATGTTTCGGCTGCGATTTAAAAAAAAATTACTCTACCCCAGAGCCGTAATTAATGAAATGGATGAGAGTGACAACTTTTTCGGGCTGCTCAGGGCACGGTCAAAATTCCTTACAAACAGGAGGGAAATTCATTTTCATTTTCTTTCTTTCAAACGAAAGGTTTGACCATTCCTTTTATCAGCACAATGCATTCACGATTTTTTGATTAAGAAGCACTATTTTTTTTTCTGCGAAAGGCTCGTGTTTCCTAGTATATACACATGTTTATATAATAATTATTTAAAAAAATCTATAATATTTAGCCTTCACATTATTATTTCCCTGTGAACTACTAGAATTTTTGTCCAATTAAAAAATATATATATATATATAAGCTTATATACAGTCCCTGACAAATTATTAGACGCACTATAAGATTCTATGTAAAATCTTAAATATTAGGTGATACTATACAGTTTATTGTTTTTACGCGACTTAAACCGGTTTGCACTTATTTATGTTCGCGTATCAATGAAATAAATTAAGCTATATATAATGTAAATTCGACGATTGGATAAATTAGGCGATGTATTATATATACTATTTATTATATCAGGTATTATATTGTAATAATTGTTGCTGTTGACGTATGCCTGTTAAGGCAAAGTGGCGCCATTTCTGGTCAAGAATTCGAATTTTGCCACACTCATACGTCACGCCCGTTTATATAAGGCCAACACATTCATACATCCACAGACCGTAATTTTGACATGAATCTACAATTCAGTACCCCCAGAGGTATTTATTTGTTACGGGAACATGGAGGACTTTATAACTCGACAGATTTAACGTGCATCAGTCACCATTTTACTACACGGGGGAGCCTTTGGCCGGCGGGGTTCGAACCCATGAACTCTCGGACATGGGCCCAGCGCCCTACCGACCAGGCTATCCCACCCATATTGTAATAATTAGATCAATTATTTAACTCACTGTAGTTTTTTAATAATTTCATGCTTTAAACGAGTTTATATGCAATAGTTTTGTATTTAAAATAATAAGGCTGTACATTATCACCTGATAAATAAAATTTTACTTAAAATCTTATAGTGCGTCTAATAATTTCGCTAGGGACTGTATAATTGAGTTAGTTTCAGAAGCTCTTAGTAAAGGGATGAAAATAAAAAGAATAATAAAGGAAAAAGAGAGAATAAAAAAGGAAAATGTAAAATAAGAAATTCAGCATATTTGCTTAAAAAAAAAAGTCTGAAAGCAATTGTTTACAATCTTCTTAATTTTATTCATGTCACATTTTTAAATCTAAACGAAATCTTATGTCAAAAACATTGTTTTAAGGAAGAAAAAAAAAAGCTTTTTGAATTTGTGATTGCATATTTTATCAAAATGGGTACCAATTTCAAACTTTTAGAAAAATATACTCAAATGCACAGTGAATAAAAAAATCACAACGATTATCTTTTGATCTAATGATCCGAATTTCACGTGCTAGGACCCAATCGTAATGGTTCGAGGGGGCCATCTCAGTTATGCTAATTAGTTACTGCAGACGATATTTTAAGCTACTAAATCCAACATACAAATGTACTTTCTCTCAAAAAAGAATATTTTTTTTAAAACGGATTATGGTTTCAGATCTGCAAAGTATAGGGGGAAGCCGAAATCGGGGAAATATGGTCACGATAGTTTGGTCAGGAGAAGATTGGGCTCCTTGCGTACTTCCCCATATCTCGAGAACTTTTTTAAAAATTTTTTTATAAAACTCGTTTTCCCAAAGATAATTCTATGCAAGATATAATTTTTAATAACTATTTGTTATTAATTTATTTAATCAAAGTATAATTTTTTTTAAATAGTAAGGTATACAAGTTTCTAATTTCATATAACAGAATGGAATAATTGAGCTAAACCTGTCGAATAGTTTTTGAAAATGTTAAATTACCAAATACTTGCAATCTTTTAATTGTTTAATGCTCTTTTATTTCCTTTAAGAAATTGAGCACATTGAAAATACTTTGAAACAACATCAATGTTTTACGAGCGTGAATTCACATGTGAAAGTGTGACCAAAGTAATTAGTTATCTATTTTTTTGTAATATCTATTTTTAATATTAGTTATACATGATTTTAAAAATATTACTTCTGTTAACGCTCAGCTACAGCCACAGTGTCATTTTCATTTCATCTATTGACCGACCTGCAAAGATTTGTTCCTATCAAATTCATTAGAATCGTTTTTCTTTTCTACACTAACATTAAAAGTAGTTGCCAGGAGTCATTACAAACTACTGTTTTTTTGTATCGCACTACTGACTACACCACAAACTATGAAAAAAAGTAGCTACCACAGTAGTTTCACTACTTGTAGTAAACCTCCTATTTACACGTAGATGACGGCACAACTGAGTTACTTTAAACAAAAATTCTGTTTCTCATCTCTCACAGTGGCACTACTAAATAATCTTTACTACACTACTAAATAATCATCTTCATCTTTCAGAAATAATTGTATCTTATTGTCATTCAAAATATTGTTTCAAGTTTTCAACATTATTATGAGCAGACTTATGATGAATATATTATTATTAAATTTAATATGAATTTTTGAGGATTCACGATCTCCTGGACATGGTCTAGCTTGCAGCTTGACCTCAAGGAATAAGTCACACACTGTATAAATGATTTTGAAAATAAAATGTGTAATAATCATGAATATAAACACTTTCTAGAGAAGCACCCCATGTGCTAGTGCAAGATCAGCTGCAAATGCTTAATGACTTCATTAAATATTGAGTGGTTAATTAAAATTATTAATTTTAAAGCTAGATTTACTCTGGACATAGAATTAAAAAAAAAACCTTAAAAAAAATTGGGTTGGGTAATTATTAATCAATACTTTTACAATCCTAAGTGAAAATAATGAATTTTTAAAAATATTTCTAAATTTAAATGTTCTAGAAATACACAATTATATAACCCCATTTTAGGAATCAATACATGCATACCAGCTGAGTATCCGATAACTGTATTCACTTTCATGTAGGAGGCGTATCATTAGATTCATTAATTAGACTGAAACAAAATTTGTACAGTAAAAAAAGAAAAGTTAAAATAATTAGACTACAGTTGTATCAATATTTGTTGAAACCAACTGTTAATTAGCAAGACTTTATAAGCAAGTTTATAAATTTGAATAGTAAGGATGCAATTTTATATCTATTTATAAAATCATTAATTAAAAATATTGAATCAGCAACTATTGTTTTTAGCAGCAATTTCTATCAATAAGAAATTTTTTTTATATACAAAATCAACAAAATGTACAAAAAAAAACTTTTTTGTTTGATGTTCGTTGCAATGCCAGTAAAGAAACACTAAAATTAAAATAAATATTTAATACACTATTTAGATTTGACTAATTTCTTTGTTAGCGTCACCATTTCAATCATAGATATATATCGTACATCACCATTCCAATTCCTAAAAAAGAAATATTTAATTAGTATCATTCATATTAAGTTCATAGCATATGTAAAAAAAAATAAGTTCTATGTTAAAATTAACTTTACAATTAGATATTTCAAACTAACAATATCAGCAAAAATAAATAAGAAAAACTCCATTCCTGTTAAAGTATTTTATAAAAAAAAAGTTTTTGTTAAAAAAATGAGACTAATGTGAGCACAATTAACTTCATAAATAAATTTAATTTCAAATCAATCAATTGTAAATTAAAGTTTCCTGAAACTATATGTCATTACATCTTTATTATAAAACAATAAGAAATATCTTATCCCTTTACTGACAAGCCTATTTTTAAGGCAGAGGGATCTGTTTCTTGGTTTCCAGTGGTACCATCAATGGCCAAGAGTTTTGACTTCTGCCACACACATATTTTACAGATCAGGAACCAGAGCATGATCTATCTCTGATCCAGTACCCCCAGAGGCATTGATTTGTTACATGAACTTGGTGAACATAGTTACCCTCGACAGATTTAGTGCACACCAGTCACCATTTTGTACACTGGGAGCCTTCGGTCAGTGGGGATCGAATTCAGAAACTCTTGGACCTGGGCTCAATACCCTACCAATCAGGCTATCCTAGCCTAACAGTAAGGAATGAAGTATGTTTTTAAAGCAATGTGAGACTTGAGACTTGCTTCACAACTTTTTTTCAGGCACATATTTTAGGTTAATTTTTTTAAAGCCTCCTACACATATATAGGTTAATATTTTATACATTAAAAATTCAAAACTCACGTATCATCCAGATAGCTCTTAATTTGGGCGCATATTAAAAAAGAACATTTTATTGAGTTTTTCGTTATCTAGTATAGTTAGAGTAATCTTTAAAATTACATTCTCTTGAAAAGGATTACATGCTTCGTAGTTGGATAGCGACATATAATTGAAATATTTCTTTGCACATATTCACAAATAATCAGTTTGTTGTTTTCATTAAATTTTCTGATAAAAAGATATTGAAAGGTATGTTTCAATTGTATTGATCAGGTAACCTTATTGTCTCCAAACGTTTCACATTTTTCTAAAAGGATCAAAACTTATAAAGCACAATAAAAAAATAAAGAGATAAGAAGTTATCATAAGAGATCTACGAAAGACATCAAAATATGTAAAATTGGAGGGTAAAACAATGTTATATATATACTACTCTATGCATTAATTTCAATCAAAAGAATATTTAATTTTTTTTTAAAAGAGCAAAAGACATGTAGAATAATACTTACTTGAAATATGCAAATGAATCTTTTTTTAGTAAATTTGGCACTTCTAAAAAGAAAAAAAAAACTATTTATTGACATGATAGGAGGTATCGAAACACAATAAATAGCTAACTGCATTGAAGAAAAAATATTTATTCAGCTACACAGGTAACTAGATCTGTCAATCTAAGCTTCGTCTAAACTTAATACAGGTATCTAGATCTGAAAATTTAAACTAAGAACAGTTAAAATTGGAATAGCAAGTGGAACCTATTGGATTATCACTGAGCATGACCAAAATATAAAAAGAAAAAGTTAAGCTCAATTTTTGATAGATAATAAACTAATTACAACTAAATACTTTGCAGTTTCGTGAAGGTACTTGACAGACAAATGCTATTATACTGTGAAAACTTTTAATTATTTGCAATGACTCGTGGGTGCTACTCTGAAAATATTTCAAGACTGAACTTCTTTACTTATTTTTCTCTTCATCATGATAAATGTTTTGTACTAGAACTGTAAGCTTCATTTTTTAAAGAAAATAATCATAATTTAGTTTTGTCCAGCATCTTAAAACACAGAGAAAAAAGTTACTAACTCTAGTGGATTTAGATTTATAATACAAATTTTGTGAACGCAAGCAGATGTTGAAGTTAGTAAATGCTATTCTTTTATTGTGGTGTGACATCATTAGTTGATCATTCGCAATAATTATGAAAAATAACAATGTTTTTATAAAAAGTATGATTTTTTTCTTATTTTAACAGATTTTTTTAATTTGCATTTTTTTGCAGTAAAATAGTAAATTTTACTTATTTTCTAAAAATTAATTTTAAAAAAATGGGAATAAATATTAATTGGAGAACCGATCTAATCTAATCAGTTGATTGATATTCTCACAAGACTGATTTCAGTCCTCAAGACTAAAGAGTAGCACCCATAAATTGATCTAAAAACAAAAGAAAAGTTAAATAAACCTAACACATATAAATCATCTTTCAAATTTTTTTTTCTTAGATGTAAAACAGGCCTAAAAATACATAAACATAAATCCATTTAATATAAAGATTAAATTAGTTAAATGGGATCAGGGAAAAATAAATCATGGAGTAAAATTGGACATTTTACAAATAACTCAATGTAAATAATATTTACATTGAGATATTTTTTAAACCAATATTTGTCATTATGAAAAATGATAGATTCATGGAAATGGCAATACAGGAAAAGCTGATTGTATGATAACTTTTGAAAATCTCTATATTTTAATAAAAACCCATGCAATTTTGAAGTATTTCCTTACAAAAGTTTAGGAAAACATCCTAAATCATCTTAAAAGGGTTATATTTTTCTTAACACAAAGATTTATTATCATGGCAATTCAAAGATTAAACAGGTGTCATCTTGATCATAATAACCAGATCAATCAAGTGCTACTTCACGAACAATTGAAAAAAAAAAAAAGAACTTTGAACTACTACATTTTGCAAGAATAGAAAAATGTGTTCACAACAAATGGATCTGTTTGTAAGAATGTCAAGAATAAGAGTGAACTTCGGAAAAAAAAAGGGTATTAAAACTAAGTTAAGATTAGAGAATTCTGATGCTTTCCTAAAAAAAAAAAATATTGATGTAGTAGAAAAGATTGACATTGTAAAAGTTTCAAAAGAGACATTTGTATTAATCAGATAAATACTATTTTGATAAAACTATTGAAATAAATTACCAAGATAAAAATATTGTTTAGCAGAATACCTAACAAGCCACATTTTTATTTCAACACATTATAAAAATATTCCTTGGGCATCATGACTCATTTTACCTCAGGAAAGAGCCCCAAAATGTTAAACTGATTAAAAGTTTAAAAAAAAAAAAAAAATTCCAAAGACACAGTTAAAAAAATAAATAAAAAAAAACAGGAAAAATTTATAGTTTTATCATTAAAATTTTTTGAACGTCAAATAACCTGAAAAGTGACCCTAAATGACTATACAGAATTCATTTTTTTGGAAAAATACAAGATTTCCGCATTTTTGACGAAAAAAATAAATAATATTTTGAGGAAAATATCAAAAAAATCAAAACTTAAATAAAAATTTATATATTGCACAGATTATGCATTTAATATTATAAAAACATATTAAAACCCACTTAAAATAAAATACATTTTTTATTTAAATGAAATTTACATAAAAGCTATCTTTAAACAATACAAAGATACAAGTATCTATACATTTTTTCCTCAAATAAAAATGAGGCGTTTTACAAACCAAGCACTTATTATATCAAAACCAAGAAAACTGCTGAATTCCCTGAATACATACTAGATACACAAATTGTGTATAAGCTTAAGCATAAGATTGTTTCTTTTCACGAGGTTCAACTGAATATTTTGAATTTTTTTTTATTAAGCACTTATAATTGACACAGATTAAATTCATCATGATGTACAAAAATTATTTCGATACATTAAATTCTTTAAAAATTGCACAAAACTTATTGCATGATTTGTGATTTCATAAAGTGTGGGAATAAAAAATCACAATATATTTAACACAGAGACATTGCAGCTGATTCAAAAATTTTAATTTGACGCTACTTGTCATATAATCACTAGGTTACATTAAGATGCGTCAAAAACATTTCCCCAAATGATAAAAAACATCATGAGCATTTTTAGTTAGCTAAAGACTACATAGAAACATGTTTAACATTGCTTCTAAAAAAAAAATATGCTAAAATATGTTTTTGTTAGCATACTAAATGGTTTCCAAACATCAAAAACTTACACCAGCATTAGTAAATATGAGATAATACTATGAGTTTTTCATTGTGAAACAAATTTTACCTATGCCAGAAGTTTCATATTCTTCCTTATCCCGATCAACAGAAAACTTTATTTTATAATCGTTGGACATTCGATCTTGATTATGTCGACCTTTTATGCTTTTCAGTTCTTCAGATTTATCCTCAATCTCTTTAAACCTTTGAAAGTATCTAAAAAAAAATAAAAAAAAATAGCCTTGATGAATGTTACATTTAAAAAAATGAAAACATTTACAAGTTGAATGCTAAAATATGTTTTACAAAATATTATATTAAATGTCAAATTAAGTTTACTTTTGTTTCAAATTTTAAAAAAGTAAAATTTGCTAGGGAAAAAATAATAGTATATTATAATTTTATTATACTTTTATTTAAATGGCTTTAAAACTATGTTTCATTAAAAAAAAAAAAAATAGTGTGTCAAAGCAACATGAATAAACAAAATTTTTCATATTATACAAAACATTTGTATAAATTTGATATAATCAATAATTTGTTAAATAACTTTGTTATAAAAAAAAGCAAAGCCTGAAATCCTCTTTAGTTTAGTCTGGTACTTCATTTTATCTAACTTAAGTACCGACAAAACTAAGCATCAGACTGAACTAAAGCTGCTTTTAAGCATTAATTTAAAAATAAATAAATAATAATAAATAAATAAAAATAAATGAAAGGACTGAAAGAAGTGGATTTTTCATATAGTAAATAATTACTTTACCAACAACCATATAAAGTTCATGAAAAAGTAAAGAAAAAAAGAAAGAGAAAATTGGACACATAAAAGAATTGTTTCATTTCATCTACTGTAATTAATTAATGAAGGTAGATATATTTTCATATTGCTTTTTGTAGCTACAAATCATAAATTTATTTTACAATTAGTCACATTGTTTCAATTATTTTTGGAAGACAATAAAAGAAAAGTTATAAAAAATGCACAAGACCTAAATATGATAGAAATATTATTAACTTACTTTTCAATTAACTGTCTGAGTTCTTCTGGGGCATAACATTCTTTTTCTACATCAATATTATCTTTATACCATTTTAGTTTCTTTACTGAAAAAAAAAAAAAAAACACAATGAGATATAATTAATCCTAAAAAGCACAAATTTTACAATAAAAAATAATTGGCATTTAAATAATATTACAAATATATCAGAAGATATGAACTATAATAAAAGTAGCTGACAATTTTTATGTATAGGTAAAAAATAGATTAAAATGCAACACAGCAGAATATATAACCTTTTCCAATCTTTTATGGCCATGGCGCTCTAAATGATCAATATTTTTTTGGGTAACCACAAGTTCATCAATAATTATCAAGTATTATTAACAATTTGTAACGTTCATAAATAAATCCTTTATTGCACAACGTTATTCTGTATTAACAAAGGAAGGTTGATTCCTACAACAAAAACAAAATGCAACCTTTTTGTTGAAGAAAAGCTGCCAAGCTTCTAGCAAATTCTTGGCTACCTTGCTTCATAATGAATTGAATTTAGAGTCTTGGAATTTTAGGAAGGTTTGATAATTTGCCGCCAAATGTGTTGCCAAGATTGCCGAAATGATTGCTAAATTAATGCTAGTCAATCAGAGCACCTTTCTTCTGTCTGTTATTGTTGCTATTAAAATGTAAAAAGTTTGCAAGGTAAAAGGTGAATTAAGAAAATTTGAAGTAAACAAAAGATAAATCAACATTTTATAAAGGAAAATTATAGAAAAGGAAAATTATTCATTATAACACAAAAAGTGTAAAAATTCTTACATTTAGCTTGTTGCCTTAATTGTGATTCTTCTTTTCTCCTAAAACATTAAGTAAAAAAGATAAGTGCATCTTTTCTAGAAAAACTATTATAAAAAACAATTTAACTAATGAGAATATTGAAATATAACAATAATATTAATAAAAAATGTAATGATTATTTTCAAATAATTCTTTTTTGAAAGAATATTCATTTCAATATAACTTGAATAGCTTATGATGGCCATGTTTCAACCACACTAATTTTAGTTAAGCATTTAAAAAAAAAATAATAATAATTTTTAATACAAGCAATTATTAAGAAAACAATAACTTCCACACTTTATTTTCCTACTATATTATATATTTTGCAAGTTCTGCCAATGCAATATTTTTCTTATTTAAATTGTATATTCTATTAAATTTTTGTTATCTGATAATTAAGCTTACTTGAACATTAAAATGTATCTAAAAAATTTATACAGAGCCCCTAACACATACATATAGAGTAATAAAAATTTGGGACACAGCAAATGATCAAAAAATATATTTTTTCAAAATTTTACTTTGCTGATTCTGTAAGTTTCTCACAGTATTTTACATTAGAAACTACATTGTTAAGATAAAGTGTGAAAAATTGATGAATAATATTGGTATATTGTAATTCCCAGTAGAGGAGATATTTATCATTACAACACATCAACAACATACACATCATTAAAAGAAAAGAAAAAAAAAAACAGGAAGAGATTTGATGAACATAGACAGATGAGCAAAGTTATGAGGTCTTACCATTATTGATGGTCATTTTGGCTACTAAAGACTGAATATGTTACACTCTCTGGTCAACAAAACAAAGAATACTTAAGACAAAAAGTTTTGAACTTCAAAAGAGCTGTTACAAAATTACTTTTGTTACAATTTAAATTTGTATAATTGCAGCAAATAAATTATCTTTATAAATGCAATCAAGAACTTCTAGATTCAATCGATCAAAAACTATGGTAAAACAGGAAAAATAACTTAAATTTAGTCTTGGAAAAGAGGTACATCATGCAAAATTACTAATTAATAACAAATTATTCTTACAAATGAGTTATGAAACAAATAAATAAATTGTAATAAAAAATGTTTTATTTTAACGCTAAGAGATTTATGAAAAGTATAAAAGAATTTTTCAAACATTAAAACTACAACCAGAAAAGGTTGCTGGATAAGTGATTGTAAAATAGACAAATATAACAAGGAAAACTACAATAATATCACTCCAAAACCACAATATAAAGAATGAGTACAAAACCTTTCAACTTTTATGATTCTATGCTTTTCACGTGATAACTGCATAGCTTTTCGGCTGTTTGGATGAATGAAAGATGAGCTTTTTTTCACCTTTGGCTACATAAAAATAAAACACCAATTATTTTTTAAAACAACAACAAATAGTGCTGCTTAAAAATATGAACAAATAGGTGANCCACAATATAAAGAATGAGTACAAAACCTTTCAACTTTTATGATTCTATGCTTTTCACGTGATAACTGCATAGCTTTTCGGCTGTTTGGATGAATGAAAGATGAGCTTTTTTTCACCTTTGGCTACATAAAAATAAAACATCAATTATTTTTTAAAACAACAAATAGTGCAGCTTAAAAATATAAACAAATAGGTGAAAATACTGTAGTTGATCAAAAACTATAATATACCATATTATGGTAATGTTTCTACAAAACTAGTTTCTTTCTTCTTTTTTAAAGGGAAAAAAAGGAAAAAAGAAAACAGAATTTGTTTTATTATACATAGTGCTTGTGATATTTTATGAAATTAGTTACAGAATTACAAAAATTAATAAGTAAACTAGTTCACAAAAATGTTGTTTGGTGTTTAATACAAACAATGTGATCCAATTAGAATGAAAAATACTGAAGTAGCTTGGCGATACAAATTTGCAAACAAGTTTTCAAGTAATTATTATAGGCTTCAATAAAACATCTTTGCCTGCAAAAAATTTTTAATTCAGTAAACACTAAAAAATCATGTGCTTGAAAAATATCTTAAAACAGTTTGAAAACAATTTTTATAAGTTTTGATCTAAGAAAAAGCATGAAGTTTACATTTTTTTTACCACTTTTATCAAACTTAAAATTTTAATTAAAATGTCCAAAGCAAATATATGTTGTCAAATATTGCAGCATAAATAACTTAGTAATTATGTCAACCAATCTAAATCCAACTCTAAATCCTACAACAGCAAGTTGTTGGTCAGGAGGAATTGACTGCCAGTCTTAATGCCACTATGATGCTAATGCCTTTACCGCTGTACAATTAGAAATGACAAATGCACTTTTAATTACTAATGTATTTTTCCTAACTTTTTTATAAAAAAAATCTAACAAATGAATGTTATAGTGTAAATAAATAATAATAACCTAAGTGGGAGCAACACAGACAATTTTGTTGATTATAACCATTTTTACATAACTTAAAACTTCATATGCATTTCCTTTATAATTTAGAATAAGGGGAAAATATATATTTTTTGACTTAATATTTAACCAACATGTAAAGTCTTTAAAAATTTCATATCCACGAGAACATAATGTAAATAAACGAGGAGTACTGAACCAATCGGGTCCAGAGCAGAAAATTTTGTTAATTCAAATCCCTGTGTAAAATATACTTCCCAATTATACTTTCAATTTATTTTCAAATTTATATAAAAAAAGTGTGATCAAGTCTTTATGAATAGAAAGAGTTATATACTTTATTGCAACATTTGAATTGATCATAATTTTGTGTAAAAAAGTTAACAGCTACAAAGAATTTATTTATTCAAGTTATTTTAAAATGTATATCTTTATATATCTAATATAAATGTATAAAATTTATGTATTGTGAGGGATACATAGCTTGAAAAGGTGGCTACTATAAGAACCAAGCAACAATAATCTAATTGAAATATTACGGTGACCATATAAAAATTTTGAATTATCNTTCTGAGATTTTAAATCTGTTATTTTACCTTAATTTTAATAAAAAAATATTTTAAAACCTGCTGATTACCTATAGTATAATTAAATTTCAATATAATGCATGGCAACTGTTGGTAGTTTTGAAGTTAAATATATTTTCTTGGCAAACTTCAGTTTTTGACATTTTTGACGGTTTAAACCAGTATTATACCCCTGTCATGTCAAAAACCATTTTTTGACGTCAAAAACCCAACCCTGGTGAAAATACTGTAGTTGATCTAAAACTATAATATACCATATTATGGTAATGTTTCTATAAAACTAGTTTTTTTTTTATACAGTGTTTGTGATATTTTATGAAATTAGTTACAAAATTACAAAAATGAATAAATAAACAAGTTAATTACAAAAATGTTATTTGGTGTTTAATAGATCCAATTAGAATGAAAAATGCTGAAGTAGCTTGGCAATACAAATTTGCGAACAAGTTTTTAAGTATTTACAATGGGTTTCAATAAAACATCTCTGCCTACAAAAATTATTTAATTCAGTAAAAACACTGAAAAATCATGTGCTTGAAAAATATCTTAAAACTGTTTGAAAACAATTATTATAAGTTTTGATACAAGAAAAAGCATGAAGTTTATTATTTTTTTTACCACTTTTATCAAACTTGAAATTTTAATTAAAATGTCAAAAGCAAATATATGTTGTCAAATATTGCAGCATAAATAACTTAGTATAGTAATGATGTCAACTAATCTAAATCCAACTCTAAATCCTATAACAGAAAGTTGTTGGTCAGGAAGAATTATGGAGTTTAAGCAGTGTTTTCTCTACATTGCGAGAATATCGCATATTTTTTTTCTTTTCTCGCATTAAAAAATTATTACAGCGAGAAATTCGCGTATTCTATAAATCAATTTCAAAATTCTCGAATTTCTCGCGTTTTGGAAAAAGCTTCGAATTACGCCATTTAGAATAAAATCCGTTTCACTTTTCTTCAGAACCTTTTCGACCAACAGAACACAACCACGCAACTCCTTTCAGAACACATTTCTCTGCAACCATGTGTCTACCGTAGATAAGGTTTCTTCACGTTCAAATTATGCACTTATGTAAGATGGACAAATACTTTGTAAAGGCAAAATCTTCTATGATGTTGCACCAAAAGTATTCAATGCCTTAAAAAATGGAAGACGTTAAAAATGTATTATAATTAAAGAAATGATTTTTTTTCAAGCATTTTTGTGTTTTTTTAGTTTTTAGAAATCTCACTTAACTTTTTGAAATCTCACCCTGTTTTTGAGAAAGGGTGAGAAATTCTCACCCATTTTTCTTCTATGATGAAAAAACACTGTTAAGGATCAAAAATTTTGTAATATGGTTGTCCCCATGCACTTTTACTTCACCAGCTCAGTGCTTCTATGTGCCATTATTTATTGTAAACTTACATCATTAGGTAAATAGACACCAGATGAACACACAGTATAAGATAAAATTAGAAAATAACGAAAATCACTATTGGCCTGTTGTAGTAGTATTTTTAATAGTGGCCACTTTTTCAAAAATTGAAAACATTACAAAGTTTATTTTTAAAAACAAAAAAATTTCTTAAGAAGCAAGCATGAAATTATAATTAATCTCACCAATTCCATTCTTATTAAAAAGAGTTTTTAGTTAAAATATGTGTATTTTTGCCAAAAGTGGCCACTGAAAGAAAATTTTTTAATCACTATTTGTTACATTTCGTTGCCGTCTGTTGATTTTGCCCTATGACATCTATAAAACAGAGCTAAAAACAAATGCTTAAATAATTATTTATAAATAAATTCTAATATGAGGACAAAGATTAAAATATAATCACAAAAATATATTTAAAAGTAAAGCAGCAGCCAATTTGTCAGGCAAGAGGAAATAGAAATTAAAATGCAAAATTTTCAATACCAATGCCATAAATATCAATGTGATAAGCAAAGCAATATATGACTGCCAGTCTTAATGCCACTATGATACTAATGCCTTTACCACTGTGCAATCAGAAATGACAAATGCACTTTTATTTCCTACTATATTTTTCCTAATTTCTTTTATAAAAAAATATAACAAATAAATGTTAGAGTGTAGATAAATAATAATAACCTAAGTGGGAGCAACACAGACAATTTTGTTGATTATAACCATTTTTACATATAACTTAAAGCTTCGCCTGCATTTCCTTTATAATTTAGAATTAGGGAAAAACATATATTTTTTGACTTAATTTTTTAAAGACTTTACCAACATGTAAAGTCTTTAAAAATTTCATTTCATAACATAATATCAGGGGTCTGCCTAGGTATTTCTGAGAGGTACCTATTTTGCGAAAATTTAGACATAATTTGTGAAAATCAAAAGTGATATTAAAAAATCTACACAAAAAAATGGTAAAAATATGGATTTATCGTTTCATACGAGACACAAAAATGAAATTTTAAGAAAAAGTACTTTGTGAATCTACTATTCTTCCTAAAGTTGAATTTATGAAGGTACCGCTAAATGGTAGTAAATTTGGCTTGGACAGACCCCTGAATATAAAGAAACGAAGAGTACTGAACTGATTGGGTCCAGAGTAGAAAATTTTGTTAATTGAAATCCATGCGTAAAATATACTTTCCGCTCATACTTTCAAATTTATATTAAAAAAAGTGTGATCAAGTCTTGAATAGAGAGATTTTGTGTAGAAAAGTTAACAGCACCAAAAAATTTATTTATTTAAGTTATTTTAAAATGTACTTTACACATCTATTATAAAAGTATAAAATTTATGTATTGTGAGGCAAACATAACCTGAAAAAGTGGCTACTATAAGAACCAAGCAACAATAATCTAATTGAAATATTAGGGTGACCATATAAAAATTTTGAATTATCCACAATGATTGTAACTTTGTAGAGGCTTGAAGTTAATGGATTTTTCAGTTCTATCTTATTCCTGAATGGAAAATATATACTACAATGCACTTTTGTTTGCAACTGAAGTTAGAAATAAGCAATTCATTTAAAAGAAAAATCGATTGCAAGAATTAAGTTAAATCAGAAATTTCAAATACAGAATTTGTAGAAATTCTTTCAATAAAATTACACACCAAAGTGATTAATACTTTTCCTATAAGGCAAACTTAATTACCCATCACAAAAAACAACATTTTTGAAAGTTTAATAATAGTCTTTCAAAACATTTGAATTATTTTGAAGTTAAACAATTTTCGAATTTTACCCAACTTGATGAAGTTTAACATACCATGTTTAAGAAAAAAGCGAAAATGCCAGGTATTATCAAAATAAGAATAATAATAGCATCAACAAAAGAATAAGAATATAATATTTTTTTTTTTAATTAAAATTTCAAGAAACAGTTTTTAAGACGGTCACAACGAGGAAGATGTTAAACATGCGCAATATTTTTGTTTTCAGCTAGCTGCTATCTATTTCTGCTCAGCTAAAAATCTCGTACATTGCAATAAACTTATAAGAGGGTCATCACGCACTACTTATCACCGTCAAGAAAAGCAAGAAATTTGATTGGTGAATCGCATTTTCTAAGAAAAACTCACCAATCAAATTCATCTTGTTGTTGGACGATGATCTAAGTTGCATGTATTACATGCAAAGTAAACGGTTCCTAAGGAATCGAAGTTACCCTAAAGGAAAAGAAATAAGTAACTGGAAGCGTTTCTATTGAAAAACAAACGACAACTTTTATGTTTGTAAAACTTCCGATTTCATCATAATTGTATGCTAAGTAAAAACGATTAATTTCTAACAGTAAGTTACTTATAATTCCGGAAATAATTACTAACCATACTTTTTGCAAGTCTCTTCCATTATAAAATTTCTAAATAAAGTGAGAATCAAGTAATCAAAGCATATTAGTTTTCTTTTAATGAAATGTATGAAAACTTTCGCAGCCCATTGTAAGCAGTACACTTTTAAAGGTTTGTATTATTTGCCTATTTACTATTAAAAAAAAAGGAATTTTACACTTGAAATTTTTAATTTCAATTTTCTTTTTATGAATTAATGCTTAATAAGTACTAAAAGGGAGATTAAAATTCTTTCCTTCTAGTAAATAACATCTTAAAAAATTGTTTTATGAATGCTACCACAAATCGAGATATTTCTCAGAATTTTTTTCGAATTTTCTCAATTAAATTTGTTGACAAAATGTTGATTCTTTTAATCAAGTTTAATTCCATTAATTTAATTTTGTCATTAGTTAATGAAACTAATAGGCATAATTTAAAATATTTGAATTTTTATAATTATGATTATACAAGTTAGAAAATTTCTATTGTATTTGTTCTCCATTAGCGTATTTTAATTTAAACAACTAGTTTATTTATAAATAATTGAGGAAATTTTCTGTTATATAATTATATGGTAAAGGGTTAAGCATGACAAATGTTGTGTTACAGCCCCAAAAAATATTAAAAACTAATCATAATCACTTAAGAAGTCAGACATTGAGAAGAAAAAAAAATTCTCATAAAAGGCAGAAAACTAGTTTTCAGAAACCTACAATTAATCAATAAAAAATTATGTAAAAACCCCTGAGACCTGATTTTCAGATGTAAATGAATGTTTCAATGTAAAATTGTGTTTGAGTGCAAACAAATACCATGAATTCACATCTAAATGACACAGAACTAATTTCAGAAACATAAAATTGAAAGGTAATATTTTATATCTAAATTGTGTAACTTAAGTTAAGCATTATATTATGGCATTTAAATCTTATAAATTTGAAGCATAAGGGATATATAACTTGATTCAAATATAAAAATTGTTTTTATTGCGAGCTCAGCATAAGTATAAGTTCCTCCCGATAAAGAAACTATGTAATTCAATAATAAATTCATTTTTTAAAACTCTACTATTTTCACTTTTATATGATATTCATTTTCTGTTTCAGTTAAATTATACATTTTTGAACAACAATGGCTAATGAAGAAGAAGAAAGATATGAGAAAACCAAAAATTATGTAATTAAGCAAATAGGTGATAAGTATGATTTGGAAAAATTGAAAAACTTTTTTAAAGGAGACATAGATTCACCAAGAACTTTTAAAAAAATTGGAACAATTAAAGATTTAATTGCTGTCTTAGAAGAGAGAGATTGCTTAAACTATCAGAATCCTATGCCCTTATTTTATATTGGTAAAATTTTAGAAAATGAAGAAATTAAAAACACAATAAAACTTTATAAACAATTATATCTTAAAGGCCAGACCATTGTATGCCTTTGTGGTCAGGAAGTTGACTATTGTCCTTCTTCTTCATGTTTACAACCTGAAGGAAATTGTTTTCAACCAAGTTCTTTGAGAATTAATTCTTCAAACAATGGTAATTTAATGTTATTTATTTTTAATTCAAATATTATTACTACTGTCTTTATTTCTATTGGTGTTTTTATTTCTAAGATACAGTAGAGAACCAATTATCCGGGATGCTCGGGACCATCGCTATCCCGGATGTCTGAATTTCCCGGTTTTCTGGATCGGCCAAAAAGTGTCGTTAATCGATGTTTTATCAAACCCGAATTACAAGGAAAAAGTGAAATGCATAAAGTAAGAGAAAAAAGAAAGGTACTCCTAACTTTAAAAAGAAAAAAAAATGGTAGAAAAATAACATTTAAAAGAATAAAAAAATTTGTAAGTTTAGACAAGAACAACAAGATTAAAAAATACAAAATTCTTGTATTTATTTTTTAAAAATAAGTACAATTCCTAAATTAACTAATATAAACAAAACCAATGGTTAAATAACGCAATATATTTCATACCTAAATTATACTGGGGAAACGATAAAATAAAATGAAAACTTATTAATCTAAATAAAAACACTTAAAAAATCGAACCGAAACGATAGTTAAAAAAGGCACTAGCATAAATATTGAAACCCGGAGCAAGGCAACATCAACGGAATTTTAAAAAAAAACCTAATGATAAAATTTATGAATAAAAAGAATTGAGTGCCTTCCTGAGTGCGAAATTTATCGTGAAAAGAAAAAAAAATCAAACGTAGTGGAATCAGAAAAACAAAACTGCAATCTGCTTCATAAAATAATCCTATGTTTAAATTAATAAACAATTCTCCTTTTATTTATTTATTTATTTTTTGTTGTTGATAAAAACATGATATTTAATTACAGCAGATGTGATTCCACATCAATAAAAACTTGCAAATGATACGGCACTTGAATTCATTCAAAAGAAAAAGATTTTATATTTATTAATCGATGTCAAATAGATAAATATATTTTTCTCTTCCATCTTCTATTCACTGATAAGCTTGCAATGCATTTTCCCCACCCCCCTCGTAAATTAAACAGAAAACGAAATCAGCATGCCACACCCTTGAGCTTGATTGATAGCCTAAAGGAGAAAATAAAACATTCCTCCCTTCCCTGCAGGGTTTGAAAAAACCCGGGGATTTTTGAAAAAACCCAACCCACCTGGGTTTTATTGAAAAAACCCGGGGAAAATTGGGTTTTATTTGAAAAAACCCGGGGAAAATTGGGTTTTTTCATTTAGTGCTCATAAATTTTACTGTGAAAATATTTTTATTTATTAAATAGTATTGTATAAGTAAACACTAAAATTTCATCTGACTTTTACCTGTAATAAAATTAAACTGGAATAAATATTTAATGGTCTTCAATGTTTTTATAATACGATTAATAGAAAGTGAAATTAAAATTATGTATAATTATAAAGAGTATCAGTTACTTGTCCCTTTTTTCAAATATTTAGATAAATATATGCATTTTAACTTTATAGTTTCAAAAAACAAATTAATCTTAAAATTATAAAAAAGCATATATAAAAAGTTATAGCTCATTTTTTTAAAATCAGATAATAAAACTTTAAATTTGTTTATTGTTGTTTAATGTATCACTTAATAAATTTTTTTTTGTTTGCTTTCAATATTTTTAAACATGATTAAAAGAAACAAAATAAATTGTATTCAAATGAAATCTTAAAAATATTTAAAAAATCTTAAAAGTAATATTTTAATTTTTAACTGTTTTTTAATTGTGATAAACTTTCTCCAAATAGTTAAAAATTGTCAGCAGATGTTAAGAGTTAACTTTAAAAAAAAGGTCAATTTTTTCCTTTATTATTATTATCATACAACAGATTCAAAGTGTCTACATTTCTCTCTTAGATGGCAATACACTTTTACGAGTTTTGTAGCTTTATCTATTCCTAATCTATTTCGAAGTTTACTCTGCACCAAACCGAAAGTTGAAAAGTGTCTTTCGATAGAGACAGAGGATGCTGGTGCTGAGTGCAAAGAAAAAAGAATTGACAGAAATTTTGTGGAAGCTAGGAATTTTATTTATTTACTTATTTTTTTTTTTTTTTTGCCATAATTTTCCACTATTTTTTGATGAAAACTGTTCAATAACAGTGTCAAGCATCATTGATTTTGGAAAGTATTCAGGATCGGAAATTTTGGATGCCATAACACGTGGCAGAAATTCTGGATGATGCTTAGAAAGACAGCTTTCTGCTAATTGGTCTTGTTCATCATTTAAAAATTGTCCCCTTGTTTCGGGATCCAGGATGCATATGCTGATAAATGATGTGGCTGAACAGCCTGATCTTTTAACAAAATGTTTATGGGATTCTAATTCATCACACGATAGTAAGTTAATTCATATTTCAACAGGTTCTGAAATTGAAATGTTTTCTGGTTGAAGCTTTTTTAAAGCTTCAGAAACAATTGATATCTGTTTTTCCCAATTGATAGTTTATTGGTAAAGCCCAACATTATTTAATTTTTTTGACATATAAAATTGTTCAAGAACAATCTCTTCATATTTATGGTAATTATTGGCAAAAGTTTTTACGCGCTCACAATATGAATTCCACCTAGTATCATTTGGTCATCAAGCAGTTTTTTTCATTTGCCCATCCATGTGCTTGATGCACATTTCTAAAATATTTGTTAACTTCAACGATATGTCCAATGATAGTATTAGGAGATACTTCTTTTTGAACCAAATTTTAAAAAAAAAACAATTTGTGAAAAAAACCACCAAGTGGGTTTTTTCAAAGTGGGCCCACTTGGGGAACCCTGGTTATATGTATTTTATATTAAGTTTAAATAACGCATTATCACTAATACATATTTGAATCTTCTTTATTTTTAAGTACATTACGTTTCATAATTTTTTAACTCAAGAATTATAAAATATAAATGCAGTAATATAAAAGGAACAAGTTTATTAATCTTTTTGTTTTCACACACATTTATTTACTATATTTATTAAACATATGGATATTACCCATTATAAAATTATAATCTGTAAATATTTATAATCAGTAAAAACTAAAATTTCATCTGACTTGAGTTAAATAAAAAACTGAAATAAATATTTAATGGTCTTACATGTTTTTATAATAAGATTAATAGAAAGTGAAATTAAAACTACGTATAATTATAAAGAGTATCAGTTACTTGTCCCATTTGTTTTCAAATAATTAACCCTAGGAAAATGATTTCATTTTTAGATAAATAATTTTAAAAAGTTCTCTTATAAAAAGTTTTAGCTTTTTTTTTTTTAAAGCTAGAAAATAAAACTGTTTAAATTTGTTAATGTATCACTTGGTAAAAAAAGAAAAAAATTGTTTCTTTTAAATTTTTTTTAATATATTATATTATTATATTACCTGTATGTATTATATTACCTGTTTATTAATATATAAAGCATGCAACTATAGTTGAAAAATTGATCTTTTCAGACTATATTATTTAAATTTTTATTTGATTTAATATCATTAAAATATTACTTTTTTGAAAAAACCCACTTGAAGTTTTCAATAGCACCTACTATAAAAATTATATGAATATTTGAGTTTCTTTTACTTTACTAATATTAAAAACTTAATCATATAAATCATGCAACTCTATTTGACAAATTTATGCTGCACAATAAATTATATAAAAATAAATGTGAAACAATAAGTTCTAGTAAAAAAAAATTTTTTTGTTGAAAAAACCCACTTATCGTTCCAAGTGGGTTTTTTCAAGGTGGGCCCACCCAATAAAACCCGGGCGGGTTTTTTCAAAGTGGGCCCACTTGGCGAACCCTGCTTCCCTGCCTTCAAGGTCACAGAGGAAATGACGTTTCTCTGGGTAAACGGGGAAAAAAATTCTCCCCTTCCTTACATTTCCCTCTACTCAACTTCAAGGATGAGTTCATTTCCGCTTTTTTTCATAATCGTTCTAGTTTAAAATGGCGGGAAAACCGGTCAAAAATTTTCCCGGTTATCTGGATACCGGATAAATGGTTCTCTACTGTACTTTATTTTTTAAAAATTTCATTTAGAATATTTTGTGTTTTACATAATTTTTTAAACTTATCTATATATTTTTAAGATTGATTGTCCTTTAAGATTTATTTAATATTTTTATTTTATTTCTTTTACTAAATGCTGTCTGTCACAATTGATGATAACGCTAAATGTATTTTGAAAAGTTGTTTCATCTCAACAGTTGTCCATTTAGCAGTGCTAGTTTGTCAGCACAAGCAAGAACTATTTTTAAAATGTATCAATTATTTATCTGGGTTATAAATGACTTAATGAAATTTTTTACTATAAGATTTACTTCATTATATTTTTATTTTATTTCTATTACTAAATGCTGTCACAATTAATAAAAACACCAAATGTATTTTGTATTGTGTCAAGTTATGGGGAATTATAAATCGACTATGTCAACCTTCATCTATCAAAAGGTACCTCAAGATGGAATCAAGTTAACATGTCTTATATACTACTGAATTGGTATTTTAATATTTATAGTGGTCAGGTTAGCAAGTTTTTGACACGGTTTTTACCGTCATGTCAAAAAACCCTCTGTCAAAAACTCATAGTTTTGGTAAAACTGTATTTTTATTTGAGTTTAACTGCTTATAATTTAAAATTAATTCATTTTTGGGCAATAAAATTGGAAAAAAAGTTGTTAAAAGATTAAGAACAGATTCTTGCATTTTCCCGACATGTTTATATCAAAACATACTATTTGAAGTAAAATATTAGGATACTAAACAAAGTTTTCATCATTTCCAAGCATCATTTTGTTTGGCATATTACATTACTGAAAAATGTCAAATTTTGGACTCATCCATACTATACTCAAAAATTGACTGGGCAGTGAAAAATGCGCAAAATTAATCACTTGCTATCGTATGGTTTGGCACAGTGACCCCTACTAGTGAACATGTAATTTTCTTTGTAATTAAGTTTTGTTTCATGTGCTCTGTAGTAGCTATTATAATATCTGTTAAAGCTATTGATTAATTGAAAATGCATTTCTTTAAGTTTTTTAAGCTCTTGATACAGAAAAAAACTTTTTTTAAGCTCTATTCCGTGTTTTCACTACAGCATGAGAATCTCGCATATTTTTTTCTTTTCTCACATTAAAAAATGATTAACGTGAGAATTTCGCTCACTCTATTATTCAATTTCAAAAAGCGCGTATTTTGGGAAAAATTTTGTCATTTTGAATAAAATCCGTTTCACTTTCCTTCCTTGATCTTTCATTATTTTGAACATCGGTTCTTGTTGTCTAGCTTCCCTATTTAATAGTATTGTTCAGAACCGGGGCGAACAGCAGAACACCCCCCCCCCCCGAACCACGGAACCCTTTTCAGAACACATTTCTCTGCAACCACGTGTTCACCGTAGGTAAGGTTTCTTCATGTAAGACGTTTACATTTTTTGTGCATGAATGTAAGATGGACAAATACCTTGTTAAGGCGACATCTTCTACTCCGTAACGGACAAATAAAAATGAAATAAATGTCGGTAGAAACGGTCAAAACGAAACGAATATTTTTCTGTCAAATATAAAGTAATAGCTGATGAAAAAGTAGATATAGAACATTTTCCAAATGATGATGCAGCAAAAATATTCAATTAGAAGATGTTAAAAATGTATTATAATTGAAGAAATAATATTTTTCCAAGTCTATTTGTGTTTTTTTGAATTTTTAGAAATCTCACTTAACTTTTTGAAATCCCACCCTGTTTTAGAGAAAGGGTGAGAAATTCTCTCCCATTTTTTTTCTGTAATGAAAACACTGGGCTCTATTATAACTTACTTGTTCCTATTCTTGATTTAAATTATTTTATAATTTATTTATTTTAATTACAGATCTGATGGATGCCATAAACAATGTAGCAGAACAAATTAATTTGAAATTTTGGAGAGTTTTATCTAGCCAGCTGAAAGTGGAAGAGGGTATTATTGATGAAATTATTAAAACATATCCTAAAGATCCAAAGAAGCAAGTTTTAGCAGCTATGAAATATTGGATGATAAATGAAAAAGAGAATGCTACTGTTGAACAGCTCGATAAAGCTTTGAATGCCCGACTTTGTAAAAGGATAGGCATCGGATCCCACCTTCGTAAGCCTGTACTGAAACTTTGTTTATGAGAAATGTTTATTGTTTGTGGTTTACTTTTATTGATGAATGAATGACTTCTGTGTTATTGAAACTCAAAATTCTTAATAAAAAACTTTGCTAAGTTAGCTCTTTAGTTCTGTGACAACATTGCTGTCCCTACTGTAGATCTTCTAGCATCGCTATCATATCATTCAAAGCAGTTCCATTATCTATTTATTATGTTTTTCAAATTAAACTTTACTTTTTTCAATTTTCAGAAATATGCCTAATTATCTGACTATCCTATTATAGTAGTTTTTGTTTCATTATTTACTAATTATTGTTATTAATCATTTTATTAATTTCCGTAAGTATTAAATGAATTTATTTAATAAAATAACATTGTATTGGCATAGCTAACATCTATCAATAGACATAAATAACTCTGCATTATCAGGGATCTGTCTAGAGATTTTGTGAAATGTCCTGTTTTTGTAAAATTGTTAAAAAAAAACTATTCACAATTTGTGAATATAAAATAAGCGTTGAGTCACATTCTTTTAACCAGGGTCCTGCTTTTGTGAATTTGTGCAAATAGGATCCTGTTATTGCTAAAAACCTTTTCCAGAATTTTTTAAATTGTAAATAGATACAAGAGTCTGCTCAACAATTGCTGCTATTAAATTAGAGATGCAATATACAAATATTTGGCTTTAGCCTATACTGCTACACAGAATATTCATTTCGGACAAATAATAGAAACAAAATCACTCACGTTTTTAATAATTTCAATTGACATATTTTAAATAACATAACATGTAACACTTTTAATGTGTTACGCATTAAGTAAATTTAAACAATTAAATTTATAATATTTTATTTAAAAAATTGTCAGAAATTAATTTTTATTTACATAATATTCTATTAATTAGTTTTATGAATAAATATAATTTGATTAATTATTTATTTTCAAAAATATTTTTTCATTTAATATCAATAAGAATGTGCACAGGATATTTGTAAAAGTAGAAATATTTTCTTAGAATTAGAAAATTCTGAATGAAATATTTCTTAGAAATATTTCATTTGGAATTTAAACATAGGAAAACTTGGAAGTCTCCCCCCCCCCCCCTAAAGGGTTTGTTCGTTTGACAAAACAATATTTTAGATAAACAAGTTTGTGAAGGGTTCGTTAACGGACCCAAATTTCTTCTAAACAGACCCCTGGTTTTATAATAATTCTGCATAATAAACTCTGCATTTTGTTAAATTTTTGGGTGCTCTTGTAATGCAGAAATGTCAATTATTTTGAATTCATCTAAAGTATATTTTATTAATATTTCATAATTCGTAAATAACGAAGCATATTGTCATTACTTTTAATTGTTTCTCTCTTCTTTTTTTTTTATTGAGATTATGTTAATTCTTTGATACAGAACAGTAATATATTATCTTTCCTGTATCAAATAATTCGTATCAAAATTTGATGAGTCTAAACCTCAATAAATTTTAATTATTCTCTATTCATCCAAAATATGCATGATGAATATTTCAGAATTCATATACAACAAAATATGTTCGCATAACTACTTATAATTATAAATTTTTTTTTATTGAGATTACGTGAATCCCTTGATACAGAAAAGAGATAAAAGCATAAGTAATATGTTATCCTTTTCGTATCACATGATTCATTTACTATATCAAATTTTGTAAGTCTGATGTATTATTTTACCACCAATTTATTCTTTTGTTTACCTTTTTTACTATCAACATGTCAACTATTGCTATAAATTTATGTCAAGAAACATTAAAAAGAAGTCAATTATTCTAAACTATTCTTACTGAACAAGTCTTTCTTCATTCTTTATGTACAGTACGCAAGAAAAGGACCACTTGGAAAACCTTTTGTTATAATGATTAGATCTTCATGTTCTAGGACTCAATCTTAGCAGTTTCTCAATTAACTGTTGGTGTTACACGGCTAATTTTGAATCCCAAATCTAATGATGCATGTTACCAATTTTTTCAATATTATATTTGAAATTATATCAATTGTTTTTACAATAAGCATGTATACATTTGTCTTAAGTGTCTATCTTCCTGTTACTATTAGTATTAAATAGGAATAGAAATTTTTGTGTTATAAAGTATTTTTACAGTGTTAAAAGCAAAGAGTTGATTAGTCCTGTGGCAGAATCGTGGCGACATTGTCGCAGAACATTACAGAATTCTTGCAAAACGATTTTTCTTTTGGAAGATGGGAATAATTTGTGCATCCCCCCAACAAAATGCGAGAATATCCCCCATAATATTAGAATAAAAAATTATTAAATCTTCATTAAAAAAATATATATATAGTTTTTTTTTGTAAACACAGCTCTTTGGTTATTTTAAATTATTAACATATATGTTTGTTATTATTAAAAGTATCTTGCGGAAAGATGTTTGTGCTAGAGAGTTTTGTCGCACATAGCTCGAAAAAATTCTGCCACGGGGTTGATTAGCAATAAGTTCATTTATGTTATTATTTTTTTGTATAAATATTGATTCAGTTGGTTTATCTGTCGCACTACCCAGTTTTTCTTTTGCTCATGATTTTTACAGTAATTATAAATCCGGTTTTGTTTTGTGTGTGTTTATTTTTGATGAAGTTTAACGTAGTGCTTGTTTTACACTACTCTTTTACATTTACACGAGTTTAAAATCCAATATCACGATTTATGTCTCCAAGATTTTTTTTCATTGTTCACCTGTTTGACACTTGTCATTCAAGTATCAGTAGGGCAGATTTGTTGGTCACTCTTTCAGGGACACCCTATCAGGTGGGCCAATGTTGCTTCCACAGTAAGGACAAATAGTACAGAAAATGAAAAAAAAAACATCCATTCCTTGTCATGAGCTTACACCCCGGTCAGCTTCCCTCGATTTTAAAATCCACTATTGGGATTCTTGTAAAAACTTCTTAAATTTGTTACTATAAAGATGTGCTATTCTTCATTGGTAGGTAATTTAGTTACACAGGGTGCGTAGCGTTTTTAAAAAGTGCTTAAATGTGCTTATTTTTGTTTTTTAAAAGCCCTTTAAGGTGCTTTTTTCCATGGATGTTTTTAAAAAGTTCTTAATTTTCTTTTTTTCCGAAATGTGATATTTTTCTTTACCATGTTGATTTTTGCCACAAATTATGCAAAAAGACACTGTCCTATTCAACGTTTTCAGCATTAATTCAACCCCAATCTATTGTACCGTCGGTCTGTCGTGTATGAAAACACCATTTGTTTTACATGTTTGATGAAATACTTGCGGGTCTGCACTTGTGTATACTGAGCTGGATACAGTGGTGAGGATTTTTGTCTCTTATGTGCAACCCTGCTCCATTTTGCAAAAGATTTCAGACTTCATTTTCTGCCCTCTGTAATAGAATCGAAAAATCTCTCTTAATTTTTGCTGATTACGGAGACCAACTAAACATTGTCAATTTTTTTTTCTCTATTAGCGATAGAAAATTTCATTTCTCTTGTTAATTTCATCGTTTGTGACACGCCATTAGCTTCGTCACTGTAAATAAATTCGGATAAAACCATCAATTGTCAAAAACTTGCCAACCCTGTCTAATTAAGATATTTTTCAAAGTTCTTAAAAAATATTTCTTGAGTGCTTAAAAGGTGCTTATTTTTTTGTGAAAAATTTGGCTACTCACCCTGTTATAAATCTTAGTTCAAAAAAATATGTTAAACGTGAAATATGTGTGGTATATAAATTTATATCTTGATATTGAGTTAGTGCGCATAAAATTTTCAGGGTTTTTCTCTTAGTGTAACTTGGTTACGTAGTGTTGTTTTAGAATTCCTCATTTCATTAGTCTCATGATAAAGTTATTGAAAACAGTATTTTGAAGATTTAATTTGTATCATTTTAATACTTATTTCTATTGATATTTTTATTTTATATCATAATAATTATTTAGGCTTTTGGTTTAAACAACAGCTTAATGCAATTTTCTTTGCAACCCTATTTTAATTCTAACTTATTAAACTATTATTATTATATTACTTTTGCTACCCCTACGAAAACTATTTTCTGGAATTATAGTAGTTGGAGGCATATATTGTTGTAATTATTATTAATCTTATAGTACCAAATATTTCTAAGCACTGCTTAAAATTTCTGCATCTTTGATGATTAAGAATCCTATCAATATATAATGGCATGTCATATCCAATATCTTGTCATATATCTATCAAATAAGAATGAACTAATAGCAATATTAAATGGTTTTAGATCATTATTGTTATTTACTTATGTTCCAGTGGTTCCCAAAAGTTGTAAAACTTTTTATTTTAATCGCTAATTATTTTTGAAACCTTTACAGGGTGCGTAGCGTTTGTAAAAAGTACTTAAAGGTGCTTTTTTGGGGATTTCGTTTTTAAAAGCTTTTAAAGGTGCTTTTTTCAGCTGGCGTTTTAAAAAAGTGCTTTTTATCCAATTAATTTTTTCTCTCCCATCAGTGATATCTGGTGGATTCCATGCATTTCACGAAAAATGGGGAGTTTGCTACGTAATCATTCACGCGGACTTCATGTCGTACCCACGTTATGACTTGCGCATGCGCGCACACTTGAAACCGAAACCCGAGTGCTCCAATTTGGATAGAGAATATCAGAGCCTTATGATATGTTTTTCTTTTTAATTTATTTTAATTTTGTTCTTGTTTATTTTATTTTACTTCTAACACTTTTTTTGACGTAGGGGGTAAGGGTACTTTTGTTCTGAGTTCAGGGTCAAGTTGAATTCACTCGGTGATGTGGGAAAGTACTGATTGTTTCGATTTACGCCCGTTTCTT